AGAGAGAGAGAGAGAGCATGATTTATCTAATGTCCTCAGTGCCTCAGCTGTCGACTTAGATTATAAGAACGAAAAAGAAGCAGCACAGTTTACTGCACTGCACCATCTTTACCGCTGGGTAACTGCAACCATATCAAGAACCTTCCTGAGGTTTGTGGTCTAAATCCCCACTAACCAGTTTACAAACACATATTTAGTGACTGTGATAGGCTGCGACAGCTGTCAATCAAACCCTCCCAAATATACCTAAAACTTTCATACATGAATTATGACGACCTCAGTCTCTGTAGGCATAAAAAACAACTTCTGAATTTCTTTTTCTTTTTAAAAAAAGTTTTCCACATTTCCATGTGAGATTTAAAAAACTAATAAACTTATTTGTTATCCAAGTATATATAAAATACTATTGAAAACTGAATATATATATACACATTTCTTTTTAAATTAATCTTTCATTTACATTCTAATAACATAAATCAATTGATTTAAAGCTTTAAAAAAGGTGCTGCAGATGATTTAAAAAAAAAATAATAGTACGAATTGTAGCCAGCGATGCGTGACGTCCAATTTAATGGACAGATGATTAATAATTGTAATTTTCTCCCCACATATAATCAATGTTTACTATTATAGTTCAGTTTCTCTTTTAACCTGCAAGGGTCTCCTACTATAAAACGATGGACAACATATTCCTCTTTCAGTGTTACCGCTCTTCCGTTGGCCGTCTTGGGTTTAAGAACTGTGTGCTGCGCTTACAACGGTCGACCAGTGGGTGGCAGCGTATGGGATGACGCACTAGCATTCAATGTGGTGGCTGACACCATCAAACCAAACCAAACATGCACCAGAAAAGCTTTCCACTGAAGTCGCCATTATGTGTAAAGGCTTAATATAATTTTAATGAAACACCTGCCTCCACTCTCTTCCTCTGTTGAGACTTTTTTATGAGGCAGTTTAGGAAGAGGTTGCTTCAGTTCCTCCAAGCTGAGAATAAAATCATAATAGCCTTCTAAATAACTGTGTAGTTTAACAGTTTTACAGCCCGAGGGACAAGAAAAGGCACCGTGCAATTCATTGGAACTGAACTTCTGAACTTCAACTCTCTGGACTGTGGAGGGATGTTGGTCTAAAAGGGCTCAAAGAAACAAATAAACTGGGAGAGAGATAACACAAAGAACTGCAGTATGTGGTCAGTTTTTGAGCTCAAACTCAGATTAAACTGTCAAACTAGGCAGTGCTGATCAAACATGGACTATTTCTCATCTAAAACATATTTTAGTGTTTATCTGGAATACGAGAGTGTGTGTGACCAGGTGAGCCACCGTTGTTTTCATGCTACGGACAAGTTGAAACTGTGTAGCCAATGAGAGCACCTCAATTCGCAG